GGGAGGGAGGGAGGGAGGGAGGGAGGGAGGGAGGGAAGAAGGAAGGAAGAGGGACCAGAACCAGTTTGACAAGAACCAGTGCAAAGGTTCTCTCACCTGAGAAGAGGCCATACATTGACAATAGCATCGTCTGCTCCGGAGATAAGCAGCGAATCATCGTCGGAAAAGGTCAGGCATGTAATAGCCTTGTAGTGTGCTTGCATGGACCGCAGAAGTTTCCCAGAAGATACCTAGAATAAACCGGAACGAGAAGCAAAAAGCAAAAAAAGAGACGAAAATAAGCCACACAGCAAAGGCATAAAATAAGTTGCACATCCTGATGGACAAGAAGTTAAAGTTGACGGTCCATCGGGACATCCGTTAAAATTGGAACGATACAGAGAAAGAGAAGATTAGCAGCATGGCCCCTGCGCAAGGATGACACGCATAAATTGAGAAATGGTCCAAAAAAAAAAAACGAGAGAAATGGTCCAAATATTGCCAAATAAATTTATTTTATTTTTAAGTTGAAAAAAAAAAAAAAAAAAAAAAAAAAACAGAGGTTAAAGTGGACTTTGCATTTAAGAGTTCTTTACACCCTAGCATTCTGGTATGGTATCCCTCTGCTTCCAGACAGTTCCAGGTGTTTACACTAGTTGTGACGCACGAAGAGAACGGCACATTTGCGGCCCCCACATGTGTGTGCGCATCCTGAATGTGTGCACCCCCAAAAATAGGGGGTCGTCGAAAAAATTGGGGAGCGGGAGGGATGGGTGTGGTGTGGTGGCACACTGTGTATGTACCATTCAGGCCGTAATCGACTTCAAGTCTTCAACATAGAAATTATTTTCTTATAAACCTTCCAAGTTGAGGTAATAGCAACAATGATAACGACTGGAAAGTCAAATAGGCTATACAGTCAAGTTGACCTCTCAAGCCCTAACTCTCTCTGTTCTTCTATTTGCCTATAGCTCCACCCCTGGAGTCTTCCTTCAAGGTAAGGTATAACACCACTTGGGGCCTTCCAGCGGGGTGCAGCGTCAACCAAGAAGATGAAGATGCAGACCACCATAGCCAAGGTAAGCTCCTTCTTCACTCTCCTCCTCCGCCGTCTTCTTCCTCCTACTCCTTCTTCTTCTTCCCCCTGCTTCTACGCTCCTTCTTGGTGCCTTCCACCATAGCCAAGGTGGATGCCAAGTCCCGCCTTCTTCCTCCACCCAGTGCTTCCTCAGCTGGCTGAAGATGCAGACCACCATAGCCAAGGTAAGCTTCTTCTTCACTCTCCTCCTCCTTCTTCTTCCTCCTCCTCCTCCTCCTTCCCCCCTTCTTATACGCACCTCCTTGGTACCTTCCACCTAGCCGAGGTGGATGCCAAGTCCTGCCTTCTTCCTCCGCTCAACACTGCCTCAGCTGGACGGTTGCTCCAGCAGCGTGCCTTCAAGCTGCACGCACGCCAACGAGGCTGAGCTCTTCGCCTCCTCTCTTGATAAACCGGAGTAGTGCCTCTTCCCGCGGTTGCTTCTAGGCCTTGCGGCCTCCTAAGTCTACCGGTACCTCCTACTTCTGGAGGGAACATCGTTGCAGCCTGGCATTCCCATCCCGTAGGCTCTAGACACAGACCTACTGGATCGGTACCTTTCACTCTTAAGCGCCTACCGGATACATAAAAGCTACCTCAGCCTCCCAAGGTACTTACTACCTTTTTGTCTTTCTCTGCCGAGCTACCCGCTACTTGAGTGTTTCTGGCCTCCGCAGTCCTAGTGTACCCTTCTTACCCGCTTCAACCCCCCCACACACACAAGGCCACAGGTAAGTACGCGGCGCACAGGCCATTCCAGCACATCTCTCTCTCTCTCTCTCTCTCTCTCTCTCTCTCTCTCTCTCTCTCTCTCTCTCTCTCTCTCTCTCTCTCTCTCTCTCTCTCTCTCTCTCTCTCTCTCTCTCTCTCTCACACACACACACACACACACACACACACACATAAAAGCGATCATTTTATTATTTTTATTTTTTTTACTTTATTTTTATAATTTTATTTTATTTTTATTTTATTTTTATTTTATTTTATTTTTATTTTTATTTTATTTTTATTTTATTTTTATTTTTATTTTTATTTTATTTTTATTTTTATTTTATTTTATTTTATTTTTTGAGAACAACAGAACCTCTCGGTTCTGGCTCCTACCATTCTGGGGAGCAACATTCCGGTTCCTATTCCCCCGGCAAGTCAAGGATGAAACAAAGTTTACCACACACGCTCCTCCCCATTATGGTTGGGAGGCCCAAGTGGACAGCATTGACTACTTTCCTTTTATGGAAGGATGTACCACCCCTTACCCCTGCCTCAGTTAGCCTGCATGACCTAGTTTCTGCGTATTGCGGATCAGCTGTTTTCTGCCAACTCTGATTGAAGCACATGTCTTGTAAAATGAGGCTCGACTAGCTTACTCCTCTCAGCTATTCGGCTGCCTAATCAGATTTAAGTTTTGGAGTCGCTAAGCTGCCTTGTCTGCTGACTGGTTTGCAGCTAGATGTGACTACCGGCTCTGTTTGTCTCTGTGGGTCGCTTCAGACTTCTATTCCTAAGACCCTAGACCCTATTCTTTATCCTTCTCTATTTTTGCTGGAAACCGGGTCCAGCATCCCTTGAATACATCTTTTTTACAGAGAAAGTAGCAGAGAAAACGCCTGCCAGCATTGATTACTCTGGTATCCAGAGGATTAACTGTGCAAGATTTTGCAAAATAGGGGGAAACGGCTGTTGCTACTCCTGCTACCGTTGCTAAGGGCCCTCCTCTCCCCCCACACATCACCTTCCTTCCCCACTTTCCAATCTACTCTGAAATTAACATGTTCCATACCATTGCAGATCCACCATTGAAAGCCCATGAGGCGGGAAGGGGTCAGGGAATTCCGAGGCGGGGCGCAGCGGTATAGCCGGGTCTGTCCTAGTCCATTCCTTGAAACAACAAAGGGCGTAATCTCTTCTTCACTCATCTTGACTGTGCTCTGGGGATTCTTCCCATCGAATATAGGCTATCCAACCCCCCTGCTCGGACCCCAACCAGTCCCCTGAGAATTTGTTTAATAGCTTGAGCTATGTCCTTTTCTGTGCGGAAACTATCTAATTGTGATTTCACCTTCAGCTATGTCCTTTACTGTGCGGAAACTATCTAATTGTGATTTCACCTTCAACCAATGCGCCCGCAGTTCATCTTGGACATACTGTTTAATATTCTGACTCCTTCAATGGCGTGAATACACCGTTTTCTCCAGAGAGCCCAAATGATTGCCCTCCTCACTGTCTTAAACATGGTATCTTCAAATGTATTGTGCGTGGGGGAGGACCAGGTTTCACATAGGAGTGCACTCCAGTCCCAAGACCATTGGGATCCAGTGCCTAGTTGTCTCCAGACTCTGTCCCACCGGCGCCAGGTAAGGGTCGCCCCCGGGCATTGCATGAAGATGTGTTCTATAGTCTCAGGAATCTTGCGGTGGGGGTAGGAAGACAAGCAGGATTTGCACCATGGCACTGACAAACCCTTCTGTTCCAGATGCGTCCGGTCTATTAACCAGTTGTTTGTTGGAAGGCAGCGGTGCCCAATCTGCCATTGCAAGGAGGCTAATTTCGCAGGTTTGGCTTTTGTGGCTGTGAACCATCGAATGGGGTGACAGCATCCCGCCCCACGTTCAAAGCGAGAAATGGTCCAAATTTTTGAAGGAAAAAAAAAAAGTCCAGCAGCTGACGCAGCCTGCAAAAGAAACTACAAAGGGTGGGTGGAATGAATGGATTACAGTGGAGTGGGTAGTAGGGTCAAGTAGGGTGGGGTAGAGTAAAATGGGATGAAGTGCTAGGAGTGGGTGGAGTGGGTAGGGTGGGGTGGAGTGCAGGGTCAAATGGGATGGAGTAGGGTGGGGGGTAGGTAGGGTCCAGTACGGTGGGGGTGGGTACCGTAGAGTACGGTGGGGGTGGGTAGTGTCGAGTAGGGTGGGGTTGGGACCAGTGGGTAACAGGGTAGGGTAGAGTACAATGAGATGGAGTGTGTGGAGTGGGTAGGGTTGGGTGGAGTGGGTGGAGTGGGTGGAGTGGGTGG